CGCGGCGGACCGCCTATAGAAGAAATGCGCGGGGTCGCTTGCTGCGCGCTCGCCGTGGGCCTCGGCGACTTCGCTCCAAGGATTGTTCGCGCGATCTCGGACGTAGTTCGCTCGGATCTCTGTTGCCCCACCTACCTCTCCGAAAAGGCACCGGGCTAAACTAGCAAACCCCCGCTGCCCATCAGGGGCAAATTCTCTGGCCAAAATCCCTAGGCGCGAGGTCGCGCCACTCCAAAGCGCAACCTCGGGGGGGCCTCGCCGAGCCTTTCCCTCTCAGGTAACGCAACCCCCAGAATCCATATCATGGCCCAGCGCACTGCATGCAGCTCTGCTGTCGCGCGGCTAATAAATGGCCAAGAATGAATAAGCGCGCTGGTTTCAGCCGAGCGGCCTCCAGCTCCTCCTCCAAAACTTAAGCCATCGCTAGACCGCGCGGTGACGACGAAAGCCGAACTTGCCATCTGCGGGTCAGTCGGCAAAGACCCATCAGTGCAAAAGTGGATCACATCTCCTATCCCTCCATAGGCCGCGCTATCTCCAACGCCATCTCAGCTGCTGCAACCAACTCAACATGCCGCGCATCAGTAGTTAGGTCAAAGCCTACCCCATAGGTGTGAATGGCCCCCATCACTCTGTTAGCCCGAGCAGCGCTGCGCGCGGCTGTCCCCCGAGACTGATCTAAATCAAACTCGATTGAAATAGGCGCGCGGTTTCCTGAGCTGGGCCCCTGCTCGACTTGCTGGCTTTGAGTTGGCATCGATGGCGGCGCGGAGCTAGCCGCATCAAAACGGATCACATGATCCTGCGAAAGAGCGGGGGGGCCTCAGAGATCGACGTGGACGGCGCCGCTGACGCTGGCCCCGCAGCTTGCCCACCGCGCCCTCGCAATCTGCAAACATATCCGGTCTCTGAGGGGACATCTCCCTCACGGAAGTACTATGACACTATGTCAACATACGCCTTCTTGGTGAGCAGCGGTTCTATACCTCGTCGCCCGTTTCGTTTACCCCCCTGCCTTTGGCCCCTTTCCCCTTAGAGGTCAGCCGCTGCTGGAAGGTGCTCTGGCGGACACAGGCGTTGTTGCTTGTCGCTGCTGCCTCCGATGGCGCCGCCGCCGTCGCCGTCTGCGCGGGCGGGATCTCCGCCGCTGCGGCAGTGTCGAGCTGGATGGCATGACCTCGCAGCGCCCTCAGCATTGCCGCCAGCGCTGGGCACGCGGTCTGTTGCGCGGCCCGGATGGCCGCCATCTGCGCCGCCATCGGATCCAGCTGCCGCGCTGCGCGCGGCGGGTGGCGGACATCTGCCATAGGAACAGCGCCATCTCCGCTTGATAGGTGGCCACCCTCACCTGCGACGACATTGTTCTTGTTCTCCCTCTCTTCCCCCATGCTCTCGATGGGCAACTCGAGCTCTGCCTTCTCATTAAATTGCTCATATATCTCCTCTTGAAGGCTGATCAACTGTTGCTTCTCGGCGCCGGCTTGCTCCGCGACCTTCTCGAGCCGAGCGCGCAGGCCTGGGAGACGCGATCGGCTTGGCACTGAAGAGCGCCTGCTTGAGAACGGCAACATCTGTTTTCTCTGCTGCTGATATGCCTGAATCCTGTTTGGCGATCACGATTGGCGCTAATGTCTGCATCCGATCCTGCACGTCTTGCTTGAACCCTGGCATACCGTCCTGATATGTTGGCGGCGCGATGCACGACGATTGGCGTTGCGCCTCTGCTGGCAAGGCTGGCGTCGCATCTCCTATGATATTCTGGATATGCTGATGCTGTTGTGTGTTATCTCTGCTGCTCGGGATGGACTGGTGACGACTGTGGGAACGAGCTCTCGGCGTCCTCCATTCCCACCCGCAACTGCACTTCCGTTGTGCCCCTGGCAGCGTGGCACGGCATCTCGAACATGTCCACCACTGTTTCAACATCGGGCTGCTGGTGGTTGATGACTATCTGCGATGCCTTGGCCAATCTGAGCAAGACTCGAGCCCTGGCTCGCACTGCCCTCTGACGCCTGTGCCAAGCTGGTTCCCAAGCCGTCTGGCGGCTTCGAGAAAAGGAAGGGTGCAATCGTGGGAAGAAAATGGCGGATAATCCCACCTCTGGGCGCAGGTGGTCTAACGAGATTCCTCTTCCCTCTTCAAAACAACTCTTCCCCAACGGGGAAGGTTTAGCCCTCCCCGCACCCCTCCCCTGGACTTGTTTGGGGGGGCCCGCGGGGTGTTAGGGCGTCCAAAACGGCCTCGACGAGGAAGCCCAAATCACTGATGCCACTACGGTTTTGGCCCCATTCTGGCCTCTTTTGGGAAGCCTGAAAATATCACGCCAGCCCATCGCCCGAACCATCGGTTTCACGAAAGGTGTTGGCCCCAATTTGGCCTCTCTTTTTTTGGGGGGGCTGAACGTGATCCCACCAGCCCTCTGGGCGCCCAAATCACTGGCGTTACTAAGGTTTTGGCCCCATTGTGGCATGTGTTTTATTTATTTGTTTGGGGGGGGGGCTGAACGGACCGCTGAATGTTATACCATCTCCTCCTTTTGGTCGATGGCCTTCAAGATGGCCTCAAGAGGCCTTCCAGGGCTCCCAAGAAGGCCCCAAGAAAGCCCCAAGAGGGCCCCAAAATTCCTATAATAACCCCAGAAGAGCTCCAAGACCCTCCCAAAGAGGCGATTTGGCGGGCTCTTGGGAGGGGGCCGAAATCGAGGACCACCCCCCTCTTTTGATCGATGCTTTCCCAAATGGCCCCAACAGGCCTTCCAGGGCACCAGCCGCAACAGCAGCAGCAGCAGCAGCAGCAGCACCAGGGATCACACTCTTTGGATCCCTCCACCTCCTCCTCCTCCTCCTCCTCTTCCTCCTCCTCTTCCCCTCGCCCCCACGCGGCCCCCAGGGATGGCCCGAAAAGGCTTTCCAAGGCCACCCCCTTGCTCCCAGAGATCTCTCGGTTCATCCTGGTTGCTTGTTTTGTTTCCCTAGATGTGTCCCTTCGTCCCTTTTCCCGTCAGTTTTCGTGGGCAGGGCTACTGAATGGGCTGGTGACTTTTTTTGCGTCGCGACCGCAGGCGAGAGCGCCAGCGGCGAGTAAGGTCCGAGCGGGCCGTGCAAGAGCCGATTTTCCTAACGCCGACGGGCCGGCGACCTACGCAGCACCTGGGCGGGCGGGCCGGCGTGAGGGGGGGTGCGGGCTGCAGCTGCCAGGAACCAAGCCCAGGATCGCGCACATGCACGATTCACTAACCAGGGTTGGAACGCAGCCAAAATGGCGCGGGGGTGGTACCAGGATGTGGCCAGGGAGACCACCACCAGTACACTGCATCAGTCACCAGGAGACCATACTGGTCATAAGCTGGTGCATAAACGGCGCCACCAAAGTCGCACACCGAGACTCCTGGAGGGAAACCGGGTCTTGCATACAACCGTCCACGGGGTGATCCCGGGCGGTCCAGCGAACTAGCCAAATAATCAATGGATGTAGTCGACGCCGTAACACGCCTGAACCACCGGATCAGGAAAAGCCAAGCGCTCTCACGAACACGGTCGCCGACGTCTGACAGCTGACCAAGACCAGGGCAATCCACGTCTCAGGCACGAGGTCGAGCGAATACGAAAGTGCCGTCGGCATCGCCGCCAGGAACCGTGGACGTAGTCAACACAGTCATCAGACAACCAGGAGAGCCGGCTGAACCATGTGCACTCAGGGACTCCATGCGCCAACGATGGGGTTGGGCCAATGGAGCTGGGGGGAGTACCGAGCCTGCATACAACCGTCCACAGGGTGATCCCGGGCGGTCCAGCGAAGTGACCAGGGAAACGATGGGTGTAATCGACACTGTAACACGCCTGAACCACCGGATCAGGAAAAGCCAAGCGCACTCACGAACAGGGTCGCCGACGTCTGACAGCTGACCAGGACCAGGGCAATCCACGTTTCAAGCACGGGGTCGAACGAACAGCTGGTGGGGATACTTTTTTGATCTGCGGCCCCAAAGAAGAATCCAGAGGGCGGGTCAATCGGGCTGACTGGGGCACAGGCCAAATAATTTGCGAACCCAGCCGTCACTGTCGACAGCCGACCGCACATGCAAGCATGCCGATCAAATTCGAGGAGACGCATCTTAGCGTCAACCGGGGGGGACGGGCGCGGGAAGAGAGCGACCCAGAGGGCGGGTCAAACGGGCGGACTGGGGCACAGGCCAGATAATTAGCGAACCCAGCTGTCACTGTCGACAGCCGACCGCGCACGCAAGCATGCCGAACAAAAACAAGGAAAGCCGACGACGGACAGCGGGGCGTCGCACAGTGGCGCCAGCACCGGGCAGACCGGACGGCGAAGGGCAGGGCGACAGGGGGGGGGAAAGGAGAGGGGAGGGAGAGAGACAGGGGGGAAAAAAGGAGCCTCACTCACGGAGCACCACGTGCACGAGGGCAGGTCGCCACTGAACCAGGCGACGGTAGACTTGGCGTGAGTCCCGAATGGCAACTTTCATGCGTCCGTGGACGGGGGGGACGTCGCGTGGGAACCACGTCACTAACCCCAGCGTTCAGAGGCCCCGCCTGGGGGGGACTGCGGGCAGGTGTGCACCACCTGACCATCGCACGAGGGCAGGGCGTCGATGGCGTCCGCGAGCGACAACTCCTACCAGAGGAAGAGGCCGATGTCGCTGGCATAGCCGGGAGCCGGAGAACGCCTGCCAAGAGGAAGCACGGCCCTGCCAAAGGATGCACCACGTGTACAGGAAGCCAGCCTCCAGGACGACGGCGCCGTGCAGCGGGACGGGCACGTCGTGGAAAGGCTGAGCCTGCCAAAGGATCAACCACTTGTGCGGGAGTGTGCCTTACCTGGGGCTGGCGGGGATACGCGAAGCGTGAAGAATTACTCTGCTCCGCGTCGCAAGATCTGGCCCGCTGGGCTGCTGGTGCCCGATCACGGGCCAAATCGTTCGTTCTTCCTCCTCCACCTCCTCCTGCTGCTCCTTCCTCTTTCTGCTTCGCTGGGCGTGCCGCGGCAGTAGGTGTCAGGGCCGGGCAAGTCGCTCTTGCTGATGGGGTCCACGATCGGGCGGCGCTCGGTGCCGAAGCCCCAGGACGGCTTTGCCGGGGTGGTGGCGGACCTGCCGTGGGCGGAGATCGGCGCGAGGAATGGAGGAGCAATCAGGGCCCACAAAAAGTGTGGTGACCACGCCTTTTGTGGTGAGTCAGGACGAACTCGGAACTCGGACGGTGTCACCGCGCGGTTTGGGAACTCGGGTCGATCTCCGAGGACGCCTCAGGCGACTGGGGCCTCTGGGGCAGAGCGGTGACAGACTGCGAGGGGACCTCGAAATCCCAGGAAACTAAACCGCACGGTCCGTCCCCGTTGGGACCCTGAAGGCCCCAGTTGCCCGAGGCACCCACCCTCAGAGAACGATCCGTATCCCCGAAACCGTGCGGCCATCCCGAGTCACCACTGACTCACCACGCGGCATGGTCATCGCACCCGTCAGGGACCCCCAAAGAGACGAACTGGGGGAGGAAAGTGTCGACGCCGCCACCGGAGGCCAAACAAGGCGACGAAATCAGAAAGCAATGCCTCCTCATCACTATCATGTTCCTACTCTTCCTTGACCTCCAATGTCCCGTTCCTCCTCCGACCCTTCCCCCCGGAAATCCTCGATCATCCTCCTTTTCCTCCGCGTTCCCGCTCCTCGACCGATCTTTCCTCCCAAAAAATCCAGGAAGTTCTTCCTCCCACCCTCGTTCAGCGCTCCCCGTGCGTGGACTCCATTACCAGTGACGGGATTGGGCCGCGACGCGGCGAACCTGACCCTCCCCGATGCGGGCAGCGCTGCAGTGTCCGAAGAAGGCCCTGAAGTGACAACCCTCGGTGGTTTTCCCAATGTACCCGTTTGCGCGTGCCAATGGTGGCGCCGATTATGGGCACGCGGCGATCGTCCGCGACAAGGTCCTGGCGCTGATCATGGGCGCCCGAGAGCAAAAAGAAGAGGAGGAGGAGGAAGAGGAGGAGGGGGGGGAGGAGAAGGAGTAGGAGTAGGAGTAGGAGTAGGAGTAGGAGTAGGAGTAGGAGTAGGAGTAGGAGTAGGAGTAGGAGTAGGAGTAGGGGGAGGAGGAGGAGGAGGAGGAGGAGGAGGAGGAGGAGGAGGAGGAGGAGGAGGAGGAGGAGGAGGAGGAGGAGGAGGAGGGGGAGAAGGTAGGGGAGGGGAAGAGGAGGACGAGGTGGAAGAGGAGGAACACGAGTAAGAAAATAAGAGAGGAGGAGGAGGAACAGGAGGATGAGGAGGAGGAGAAGGAGAAGGAGGAAGAGGAGGAGGAGGAGGGGGGTGAGAAGGAGGAGGAGGAGGAGAAGGAGGAGGAGGAGGAGGGAGGAAGAGGAGGAGGAAAAGCATGATAAATGGAGGAGGATGAGGAGGATGATGGGGAGGAGGAAGACGCCTCTCGGTGTTGCTGCTTCAATAGCAGCAAAGCGCGCGAGGGACAACATTCGGTATCGTTCATCCTGGCTGAAGTGCTTGAACGGCGCGGCCACGGGTTATAGAAGGCCGCGCGCCCGAGTGCGACGCGCCTGAGTTCAGCGCCCGTTCAGTGGCCGTCGTAGCAGCGATCGTACAGGTGCGACGAATATAGAGTTGATGCCGCACTGGTGGCCGCGCTGCTGCACCCACTTGTCCTTCTGCTGCTGGGCGGTGGTGGTGGTGGTGGCGACGTGGAGCCGTATCTCCTATAGCCGAGTATAGGGAAAGTCGTAGGCGGCGTCGCCGACGGCGACGGTGCGCGCGGCTTTCGTCATCCAGTCCATGGCCTTCGCCGCTGCAATGAGCGCCGCCGCAGGTCTGCGCGCCCTCAGCCACGGCGCCTTGCATTTGGCGGCCCCCATGGCCCGCGCGCGGCATGCGCCGCGGAGCCTCTCTGCCAGCGGCGTGTCCGCAAGCGCCTCCTGCCACGCAATCGCCCGCGCCATGAAGGGGCTGGTCGTCGCGCAGCAACGCGGGGCTGGTCGACCTTCCCTTGGCGGCGCCCTCCATCACCGTCGCCGCGCTAGTTCGCAACTCGTTGAGCTCGGAATCCGCTGCGCCGACAGCCGAGGAGCCGTGGGGGAGCGCGGGCACCTCGGCGCAACTTCTCGCGCGCTGCCCACTCTGCCGTCCGGGCGGCTGTCCTTCGCGCCGCTCGCGCAGCAAACTTCGGCGCCCTCTTGCCGATGGCCGCCACTCGTCTGCGTCTGCCCGCTGCTGCCGCGACTCCTGGGCGCTCCGCGCGATCGACGTCTCTCGCGCCAAAACGCCTGGCGGTAGCTGCGATGTTCTTGCCCGGCGCGGCGGCGGAGGCCAGGGCGACCGCCCCCCCCCCCGCGCCCCTCGAGACGGGCGCGCCCAGGTGCGCCTCAAACGCGCGGGCCGCGCAGCGGGCGGGGCTGCCGCGCAAGATCGCGGACGCCGCGCGTGGCCATTGCAGCGAGGTCGTCGCAGAAGAGGGGGGCGCCTCCAGCTCGCCCAACGCTGGGGCGATCGCCATCTCGAGGCAGGACGGCGCGCACCTGCTGCCCGCGACGATGCCGCGCTGCCAGGTCCTCGCCCTCGGCGTCGCACCCGTCCAGGGAGATGCGCCTCGCCGCGCTGTGGGCGCTGAGGACGGCGCGCATGGCGATGGGATCGAAGCCTCGCCGCCCGGCCGCCCCACAGGACCGCCCGGCGCGCGACCCGCTCGAGGCGCTTGACGAGGTCGGAGTGGCCAGCCGCGTACTCGTGGCCGTCGGCGCGCTCTGCCTCGCCGCGCATTGCCTGCAGGCCCTCGGCGGGCCCAGTCATGAGCCCTCCTGTCGGGCGCGCGCCAGCTCGGGGGCGAGGCCCAGGTGGCGGAAGCCGCCCGCAGGCTTCGGCATCTGGTAGTAGAGGTTGGAGGCCTGCGCTGCCGGCCACGGCGCGCCATTTTCCGCGGCGCTGAACGCGCTCGCCGCGGGCGCTGCTCCTCGGAGACCCCGCGTCGCCACGGGCGCGGGCGCCAGTCGGCCCCCCCAGTCCCGCGGCGGCTCGGAAGCGCCCGCGCGCCTCGAACGCGCCCTTCGGGGTGATCCTCGGGGCGGCGTCCTCATTGAGCTCGCGGCCGCTGGGCGCCCGGCGCCGCGGCGCGCTGTCGTCGCAAGTGCTGGCCCAGGACTGGCCCCCAGCCTTCCAGCGCAGCGTCCGCGGCGACCCGAAGGTGGGCGGGCTCGCGCTGATCGCGGGCGTCCGTCGGCTCGATCGGCCCCCAGGGATCCCGCGGCTCGGCCCGCCCGCGCAGGGCCCCCGCCCCCGCCTGGCTGCGCTCGGTGACCCAGCGTCGCCAGTCTGGTGCTGCGCGCTGTCGTATTCTTCCTAATGCGTGAGCACTGGACTGACGTCCTGCCCTCTGTCTCTGTCTGCCTCGTCGGCAGACGGCGCCTCCATGCCGCTTCCGCCCCAACCGTCGGGCTTTCCTGCGAGGCCACTAGGCCGAGGTCAGCAGAGGTCCAAAGAATAATCTCAGGGAGGCGCTGGTCGTCCTCCTCGAGTCGCCCCATGGCGATGTTCAGCTCGCCGACGTCGCCGGCGTCTGCCGCGGCGCCGTCGATGGCGTCGCAAGCGTCGTCGCGCTAATCGGTGTCGAGTTCGTTGCACTGCCCGTCGCTCCAGGCACGATGGCGTCGTTCACGCAGCGGCCAGGCTATCCTTCTCCAGGATACCCTTGGCGCTGCCGCGCGTCAAGTGGAGCGTTTCGCAATTGTCGTGGTGCTATCAACTGCGCGCCGCTGCGGCGATGCGGACTAGGCGTCGCCCAAGCACTCGGCCGCCTCCGCCCACTAGTGTTTTCGCGTGGCCTCGGCGACATTGGGTGGCGCAAGCTTCCCCTGGGAGCGAGCGGGCATCTGCGCGTTGCCCTCGCGCTCTTGGAGCTCGAGGCCGTCGACGTGTAAAATCCCACTGAGATGCCCCTCGCAAAGTGTCGAACAATGGCCCTGGTAGGCGTCGACGTCGCGCTGGCTGCGCCGCTCGGGCGGGGGCAGCCGAGGCTGGGCTGTCGGCGCCGAAGCGCGCCCCGCGGGTAGATGTAGAAGCCGTCGTCGTAGTCGTCGCAAAACTCACATCCACCGGTTCTGCGCCTGGAGGCGTGGAACTCGGAGCAGGACTGGCGAATGCGGCGCTGTCTCGCGCTGGTCCTGAACTGTGGCCCTCGGCGCGCCGTCGAGCAGGGTCTCCGGACATGGCGAAGTTGCTCCTGCGGCGCGCCTCCCCCACCGAGGCCCACGGTCCACGCGAAGTGTCAAACGCGATGGCCCCGTCCATCCCGTTCACCACTCCAGACTGCATTATATATGTCGGGTCACGTTGAAGTCGCCGCCCACGGCCCAGTACTTCCCCGATGCCGTAGCCACCGCGGTGAAGCTCCCAAGGATGGCCTTGTTGCGGTCCGCCATGCCTTCATTGGCCCAGTGATAGGCTGCGCCGATAGTGGTGCCCAACTTGCCGATGGGAGTCTGTCCCGCCGATCGCCAGGCGGCCCTTGGACTCGCGGGGCGAGATGCCCCACGAGTCGAAGCCCCTGGCGTAGCCAATGGTGATTGGCGGCACCGCGTCGAGGAGAACACCCGCACTCCATCAGCCCCCCTGTGTACGCACGCTTGGTGAGATGCCCAAGCGCCAGGATTGCTTCTGCATGCGCTGGGTGAAGCACGGGCTGGTGCGCGGGCTCGCCTGCATCTCCTGCGCGATGACCACCGGTGCCCTGCACGTGTAGCTGATGTGCTGGGGCACCCTTTCCAGCGTGCCAATGGAGTTCCCATTCGCAATGAAGAACTCCTGCCCACCGCACATGCCATCAAGAAGACGACGGCGCGGTCCATGCACCGGCGGAAATGTTGAGGTTGGTACTGGGCCGCACGCAAGCAAGAAAAGATACGACCAGTGGCGCATGGAGATCGCTGTGGTCTTTAGTGCAGCCCGCGTCCATCATGATCTTCCTGAACTGTTCCTCGTTGGCGTTTTGGGGGGAGCAGACCAGCTCCTGCCTGACCTCCTCCTCGGTTTTGCTCTTATTGCGTTGTGGGGCCTTTGTTGGCGTCGTTGGCTGCCTCCTCCTTTTTTTTTAGCCCCTCCTCGGCTGCCGCAGCGGCCTTGGCGCGCTCCTCGTCCGCTTTGTGTTAGGTTTGCGCGTGCTGGAGCGCCTCCTGTAATTTGGGGTCGGAATCGCGGCCTCGCGAGCTCTTGGTTTGCCTGCTCGAGGAAGGCGACCGCAGCTCCCCATCCTTGCCCTGGCTTGGGCACGATGAGCTCGTCGATGCGCGCGCGCAGTTTGTACTCATGTTTTACCAAAGGAGCTCGTTCTTGATCAAGCTATTCTTGGGCCAGCTTGATGTCCTGTTTCTGCTGCTGCTCGACTAGTTCCCTGGTGCGGAACCACTGGGTCTTGCACTTGTTCTTATCCCGCACGATCTTGCACTATGGCATCGTGGGACGTCGCTGCATGCGTCGACACCCTCCTGCATCTCATCAAATCTGCTCCTGAAGGTGGGTGGTGCTGCCGGCGACCAGCCGGGCGAGGTCGGGGTCCTCAGCCTGCGTCCGCATCTCCTGGAGGTGGCCTCTCCTTCCGGAATTAGGGCCTTAGCGGCGTCCTGGTTCTCAGTGGCGCCGTTGTTTCTGGTGCCGTCGCCCTGGGACCTACTTCGCGCCGTGCATGAGCTTTCAGCACGTCCAGCTGAGGCCGCAGCCCTCCCCGTTCTGGGACTTGCAGCTGCTGCTGTTCCACGCATTGCGCGTGTGGGTACTGGGGGCCATCCAGCCCTCGCTTCGAAGTTGGCCCTCGCTTCGCCGTGCGCCGCCTCTCTGCAGGGTTAAGGCGGGATCGGCGAGAAATGCTTGAGGAGGAGGAGGATAATGATGGGGGGAAGTAGGAGGGTCAGGGGAAGGAGAAGGAGGAGGAGGAGAAGGAGGAGGAGGAAGAGGGAGAGAGGGCGACGGCGAAGGCGAACGGCAGGGGACGTGTGCGACAGCGTCGGCTGGAGGCGTGCGGCAGAGGGTGGGCGAAGGGCCGTGCACGCGTGAGCGAAGAAGGCGGGCCTTCCGCGAGAAGACGTCGTGGCCTTGCGCCGCGACTTGCGCGGGCCGCCGACTTGGCACACCGCGAGGAGAACAGGGCGCTTCCGAGCGAGCATACGCGGACAACAGATGCGCGAGTGTCTGCGGAAAAATGTCCCAATGTTCTTCGGTTGCTAATGAGTCTTGATTACTTCCAACGGCAAGGAGGGATAAAGGGCTGCTTTCAAAATGTTCCCGCTGTGAGCGGGTTCGCGTTCGTTTCAAGCATTTGCATCACCTGCGTGGACGGACGTAAAGCAGTTTCCAGCATGGTTCAATCGTGCCGCCTTCTCGTCGTGCCGATTCGTCTTAAAGGTGTGTTTGGTACAAGTTCGTCTAAATGGGGCTTCAATCTGAGACTTCATCAAGTCTGACGTGCCGATTTCTGTAGAACGCACAAGCTGTTTCACGACGTGGGCCTCAGGATCTCTCGGCCCCTTCCCCGGGACCGCCTTTTCTGACTCATGGACAGCTGCGTATCATGACCACACGGAGGCACGAAGACGCCCACGGGACGTCCATACTGCAACAAGCAGCAACAGCGCGCCCGTGGCGAGACCGTCATGACGTCGAAGGCCTGGGTCCTCCTCGCCTCCCCTCCCCTCTGCTGGCCCGTGCACCAGCCACGGGGCGAGCCAGGCCCAGGCGGGGCAGCCTGGTCTCCTTCTTCGCATGCCAAGCGCTTGCTTCTTAAATTATTTTGGTATCAGCCTGATGAGGTCCCAACGCGCAGTCCCCCGGACATCCCGACCGTCTCTCCAGGGCCGGTTGTCCATGCTGAGTCGCTTCTTCTCGGTCCCAAGGCCAGGCGAGGGCTCCTGGAAGTCCCAAAACTGTCAGAAACCTCCCGTCGTGATCACTTAAGAAAAGGTTTGTATTTTTCGGCGATGGCCCAGGTCATCCCGTGTGCGGGGGAGAGGTGCCGGCCGATTATCTAAACTTCTCGCTGTGGGCATGCCCACGCATGCCCGCGCGCACAACTACTGCTTTCCCACTTCGGACCTGCGTAACCGACAAGATCAGGTGATTGCGGGGTGGGAGGGGGGCCCGATAACCCTGGATATCGCCAGACCCCAAAGAATCGGCTGCGAGCGAAGGAGGGAAGTGAGAAGGGGTGGGCCTTCTCAGAAGGCTCGGAAGTGCCCTGGCCTTGGCCAGAGGCCTTTTGAGAAGCCCCGCCGCCTCCCGAGACGGCCTTCTCCTTCTCACTTCCCCCCCTCGCCCGCCGCCGAAAACAGTGTCAAACGATGCGCGCATGCCTGGGAGAAGGCCCTGCCCCCTCCCTCCTCCTTTGAAGGGGAACTGGGACACACAAATAAATACACACAAATAAAGATATCCCCCATTTTTTCCCATATTTTCTGGGTTTTTGTCTTCCCCCCCACTTCCCATATTTTCCCATATTTTCTGGGAATCGCTGATTAATTGTGTCTGTGTGTTTTTTCCCCTCCTGACTGCCCCCTCCCTCCTCCTTCCTCCTGGGCGAGGGAGGGTCGGGTGGCGGACCGGCCGGGGGCTTCGTCGTAGTCCGCCGGCGAGGGCTCGAACGCGGCGTCCCTGGAGATGCCTGGAAGCATGCGCTGGCTCGCGAGCTTCCTGGGCGGGGGGGGGGGAGGGAGGACGAGTGTGCGGGGTCAGCAGGCGACCCTCAAGGGGCTCCCACGAGGCCCCCCAGAGGCCCCCAAGCCGCCCCCAAGAGGCTCTCTCCGAAAGAAACAGAAAGGAGCATCCCTGAGGACCCTGACACACAATCCAAGCACGGTGTCGGGATGGGCCAGACCATTCGATGCATGTCTCTCTGCATTCCCAACATATCACTATCCACATATTCCTTTCTTCTCCTTCTCCTCCTCCTCCACTTACTCCTCCCCATCGGGCTGGGGAAATGAAACATCACATGTTACGGCCGACTTGAATGTCGGGAAAGAAGACGTTACGTGGCATGTGGCCGCCCTCAAGGCTGTGCGGAAAACAACCGTCATACGCTGCGGCCTCCTCAAGTCCCTGCAACTGGGTGCCAGATATTTCCCCCCTTCACACCCAATGCCACGTCCTGAAAGCTGTCACATTCTACCTGGCCACTCTCGAGGTGTCGCGCCACACAGGGTAGGAGGGCACCAACTGTATACCTACACCGATCCTGGCCAGGATCACCCCGGGTCCAGGATCGGTGTATACGCCCTCCTGGCTTGGGCAGGAAGGCACATGCACCGATCCTGGACCCAAGATCGGCCTGGCCAGGATCGGTGTAGATATGGTTGATGCCCTTCGACAGAGTGCTGCGCTGACACCACGCCGGCACCACAGCGGACAAGCGGCCCCAAGACCGCTCGGGAACATCGTCTCGGCAAGTCTTCCCGCCGCGTCCTGCCACGGCTCGCGATGGTTGCCCCCCCCCCCCCCCCCGAGGGGCAGCAGAAATCGAAGCACGCAGGCAAAGCGTGAGGGCACACGCGGAAATGCGACGATTGAGCGCCTTCGCTGATGAACAGAACAGGCCCTCCCCTGAACGAAACGGGACCCGAAGGCTGCACCGCGTCGACACAACGGCAGCACTCGACAGATGGCGCTACGTAATCCAGGACGCCAGCCGAAGAAAAACAAGGAATCCTAAAGTTCCGCCTCCGGCAATAGGAACAAGAACCTGCGAGGGACGCGGGGAGAGGGTGGCGCGCCCCCCCCTCTCCTCCGCGCGAGACATCTTCGATCCCCAGCTCGGGGAGGCATCGTGGACCTCCTCGCTGGGGATGGTGGTGTTGCTCCTCCTTCCTTCGCGCAAGATGCCGAATACCCCTACTCCTTAGACCTCTCCCAGGCTCAGAGAAATCGAGCGGGAAGGTTTTGGCATGCTCTTCTCCCCTGATCCTCCGCCATTTCTCTGCATAGAACGGGTGCGCGTTCCAGGTCGCACCGAATCGCCAATGTATCGGCGACGCGCTGGCGATGCAGAACTTGAAAAGACTGGTCTACAGATCGCACCGAATCGTCGACACAACATCACCAGGAGACCCACCTTACCCAAATCCCGTGTAATGGCAAGGGGACGGGAAACAATTCGCTGGCCCAACGGGCAAGAGGCGTGCTAAGATCTCCGGTCACTGGTTAACCATATAACAGTATTTCTAGTTCGCGCGCGCAGGGCGGCTCCTGGGGTCCTCTGGACGAAAAGTACCCCGGCCAACCCCCGACCAACCTCCGGGCAGGTCCCCGGCAAGTCCTGGGAGCGCGCCAACAATGCCCCGAGACGTCCTGGAGACGGTCCAAGAGGGCTCCGAGTCGCTGAAAGATCGTTCCAAGATGCCAAACATAGCCCTCAGACAACCCTAGAGGACCCCAAGAAGCCCCAAGAGAGTCTCAAGAGGCCCTCCAAGAAGGTCTCAAAAAGCAGAAAATGCGCCATTCCCTTAGGAAGACGCGCATATTTCGCATATACCATTTTGGGGTCTTCACAGCGTCCAAGACTGCCCAAGCGCCCCCAAGATCGCACCAAGAGGGCCCAACAGGCCTCCAAGATAAGCCCAAGAGAACCCCAAGACGCCACAAGAGGCGCCCAGGATCCCCCAAGACGGCCCCAAGAGAGGGAACTCCGAATGTCATTTCGAGCTTTCCTCTCCAAGGACGCCTCCGAGACCGCAAGCGGGTTCCCAAGAATCCTCCAAGAAACTCCCAAGAAGCCCAAAACGGAACCCCAAGAACCCCCAAACGGCCCCCAAGACGCCTCAAGAAGCTTCACAACT